GAAAGATAACACGTTAACCAGATAGAAATTGGTGGGCAGAACTCAAGACCCCCCTTTTGGGTTTAGGCTTTAGGGCTTAGGGTTTAGGGTTAAGGTTTAGGGTCAGACTTGCTGGTTGCTAGTAAGTAATGAGGGCAAGGAAAATAAAATGGCAACTGCTGTGGAGTTTAGGGCTTAGTCAATGGAAAAGAAAGCGGATACCACCATGTTGCTCGTCGATTGTTTGGGATTATCCCCAAACCCTACACCCTATATTTAACTGCTCCTACAACATCTATTTGTGTAACGGTACATGCAAGAGGCCAACGTAACTTCCTTACATGCTACCTCTGAGGAGACCCGCAAGATGCAGTTTAGGGTTTAGGATCCAGGGTTTAAGGTTTAGGATCTAGGGTTTAGCGTTTTGATCAGCTTCCCAAACCGCAAACCTTAAAGTCAAGTCCCTGGCTACACCCTGAACTCTCACATCCCAAGCCCCCAAATTTTGAACCCCTGGGCTCAAGCTCTAAAACCACAAAGTCCTGAGCCCCATAGAAAAAAGATCCACAAAAGGACAAAGATGCTCAGTAGAGCCTAAGAAGGACCCCTTCAATGGGAATTGTGCTGGAACCTGGGGCTCCTCCAGGGTCCTTCCTTTTTGGGTCAAAGCCTTGGGTTTAGGGTTTGAGAAAGGGGGCGCCCTGAATTATCAAGGCATTCTGGGGGGGGACTCTGCTTAGGGGTTAGTGAGGTTTTCATAAGGTAGGGGCCAATAAAAATACAGACCCCAATCTAGTCTACTACAATCCTCATCATGTCGACCCTTATTCTGGGAAGCCACATGTGAACTATAGTCTGAACTCCTAGCATCCCCCTTAGTAAACCCTATAATAGTCCCTTGTAATATAATCTCCTATATAACCCCCTTTAAGAGTTTAGACTATTAGACTATAGCTTATCTAATGAAATTTGTCCTGAAACTCTAAACTCCTGACAGCTCGAGCTGCGCACCTCAATCGTGAGGATGCTGCCTGCCGCGCATCCTTCAGGGACCACAACCTCCTGGGCAGATATCTCTAGTATAGGGATATAGGTCTTAGGGTCTATAGGATTTAGGGTTTAGGGACATAGGGTTTGGCCATGAATTTGGGGACCCTGATATAGGAACCAAAATACTACAGCCGCTGTCATGGGGACCCCAACAAAGGTATATATCCTTCCTTTTGGGACACCGACACGCTAATCCCTAAACCCCGTATAGTCCCCAGATACGCTAATGGGACCCCGAAACCCGAAACCCTTAAACGCTAAATCCCTAAATCCCTGAACCCTAAATCTCTGAACCCTGAATATAGCCCCTTTAAAGGGACCCCTAAACTCTAAACCCTAATCCCTAAAACCATAAACCTTAAACCCCTAAAATCCTAATACCTAATACCCTAACCCAAGCCCTAAAACCCTCAAACCCTTAAACCTAAAACCCTAAACCCTGAAACCCTCATCCCTAAAACCCGACACCCTAAACCCTAAATAGCATCTTGGCGTCCACCGTCCGACCTGCCACCTCGATCCAGAAGGAATCCCCAGGCTTGTAGCCCTCCGGGATCCTTACCTGTGGAAGGATTAGGGTTTCAGGGTTTAAGGGTTTAGGGATTAGGGTTGGGGGAATAGGGTTTCAGGGTTTTAGGATTTAGGGTTTGGGATTTAGGGGTTTGCGACAGGAGGCTTTGTTGAGGATGTAGGGGCACTTGCCCATTGAGCATCGTGTCAGGTAGCATCCCCAGTACTCCACTAGATCCTGCAAGCAAGCCCCTGGGAACCCTCTGATGCGCGGCTGACGAGGATCACGAAGGTAACGCTCGAGTTTCCAAAATTAGGGATCCTGTTTTGGTAGTCGCCAAGCATGAGGATCATCCTTTCTGGAGTCCCTATCGAACATTCGGGCCCCCTGTTTCAGGAAAACACCAGAAACATTTATCAAACCCTTATCCTCGGCGCGGCTGCAGACTTCAGAGTCTTGACCCTAAACCCAGAGTCTCAGCGTACAACAGGGCGGCTTCCTGAATCCAAGCTAGAATTCTGAGGTGAGATCCCTAATGGTACCTTTCATGACAAATATGTGCGGGCTTAGTACTGTGAATCTACCCTGCGTATTCTTATGATTAGCAGCAGCAGGAGGAGCAGCACGGGTCGTACTAGTCGTTGCCGTACTGGCAATAGTAGCGGCCCTTAGCATTATCTACTCAATCGTCGCATCTGTAAGACTGTAAAAACCCTCCTAAACCCTACACCCTATACCCTAAACCCTAAACCCTATTTCCAGGAGTTACCCAGGCCTCCGCCTCGAGTACGGCGGGTTCCTCTTCATCCTTACACTGGGTTGCTGTTTAGGAACTTAAATTAAGTTACCATAATGGGTATATAGGGTTTAGGGTTTAGGGTTCAGGGTTTAGGGTGACCATAATGGGTATATATAGTAAATCATAGGGTTTCTCCAATATAGTAACTTAACTTAAGTTCCTTAACAGCAACCCAGTACATTGCAGCGGATATCTTCAGGCTGGGCTTCGCTAGAGTTGTGGGCGAAGATTAAGGGAACTCTGCTGATATGATGCATTTTAATGGGATTCATATTGGGATTATATATTGGAGTAATGGAAAAGAAAATGGAAAGTACCATATCATAATAGGGTTCATATTAGGGTTATAGATTGGAATCATGGAAAAGAAAGTGGAAGCTACTATATGATAATAGGGTTCATATTGGGGTTAGATATTGGTGTTCTGTAGGGCCTGTCAGGCTTGAAAACGTGAGCGCCGTACGGGTCATGGGTATGTGGCCATCAATTGGGGGGCGTGTGCCAGAACACATACGACCTTAGTGAAAGCTTTCGCCAGCTCATCATGACTTCCGAAGCATGGTGGGTAAGCCCTGAGACTTTCTGTGTAAAGTGTTTACGGAGATTCTGCGAAGCACGGAAGAATTGCACGGGGTGTGGGTGGATCAAGGAGAGCATCCTCATCCGCAGAGAAATTGAGGAAAGACCCCCGAGGCTCTAATCATTGAAGATCATAGAAACATCTGGCGTTCATGTGGACGTTTCCAAGAAAGTAGCCTATTTGTCTCCCGTCACAAAGGCGTGCCAGCCCTGAACCCTGAACTCTAAAACTTGCCCTGCAGGGCAAAGATGAACGACATCTCTGATCTGTAGCACAACAGGTTTGCAGAAGCGTCACAGAGTAACGGAGCCAACCACTAACACACCCTAAACCCTAAACCCTAAACCCTAAACCTAAGAAATAAGGTTTAGGGCTATGGGCTTAGGATCCCCGAGGCTCTAGCCCCAAGGCCAGCTACATAAGTCAAGGAACTTAAATCAGGTAACCATAATGGGCGTGTATATATAGGGCATATGGGGTATATGGGGTGTATGGGCTTTAGGGTTACCATAATGGATATGTATATATATATATATGTATATATTAAGTGGTTTCCCCAATAGAGTGCGGACAAGATTCATTGCCCGAAGCATTGGCATTTGTCATGCTTCTATCATGCTCGCGAAGCGATGTCTATCGCTTGAGCCCAGAAGGTGGGGGTTTCCCGAAATATTAGGGGGTACTTTTTTGGGGGGGGTCCCAATACTGAAACCTTGGTGCCTAAGTTGGGGTACCTCTATTTTGGGAAAGCTACCAGGTGCATTAGAAGTGTGCCCAGCATCCATCGGACACCTGGGATTTGACCGCAAAAGAAGACTGCAGCCCATAGGGTTTTGGGGTTTCAGGGGTCTAGGGTTTAGGGGCTTCAGGGTTTGGGGTGTTAAAGCTTTAGTGTTTGAAGGGGTTAGGGTTTTAGGGGTGTAGGGTTTAGGGGTTTAGCGTTCTAGCGGTAAGGGTTTAGCGTTTTACAGGTCTAGGGTTTAGGGAGGCCAATATCCCAAAGCTACTAACCCAGCTTTTGTACTTGCTGCAGGGAGTCTCTGATTCCCTCTCAGCTAGTCAGGCGTGCAAATCATCTGCCGCAACTTTTAAAGTCCAACCCATCCAATTGGCGCTTGATCTTATTGTTGCTTAGGTTTTACGGTTTTGGTTTAGGTTTGATAGGTGAGTTTCCAGCAGTCAACCTGCTCCAAATAAACATAGAAGCTGATGCGGTCTCCTTTTCAGAGGACACTGGTCTTTGTAGGGTCCTTGTAGGGCTTGTATTCTGGCTTGCGGGAGTGTGGGAAGCTCTTGGGAGAAACTACCAGAAATGAAAGCTATCCCTAAGCCCTAAACCCCTGAGTGAAGTTCAGGGACAGCAGCATATTTACAGGGCCTTCATTAAACATGAAAAAAATGGCAGAGCTTAGGAGGACCCCCCACCGCGTAATAGTAGTATAATACTTGTTTTTTTGGTGGGACCTTTTCTCCTCGGAATTGGCTCCTTAGAGATGCTTGATTAGTGCTTGATTAGCACGGCCCAGGCAAGCCTTAGTCTTCCCAGAGGCCCACACCCACACGACCAAAACAGCATGCCTTCAACGACAAGTATAAAAGGGTTTAGGGTGTAGGGTTTGGGGTCACCATGACCTTTTACAGCTACTACTACTGGGTGTGGGGTACAGCTAAGGAAGAGCTCATTCCATGGATTTCCAAAGAATGAGAGGTCCTTGTATATATACAATTAGGCCACTATCTTCATGAATTCCCTCCCACCAAAAATTCCCCCCACTCTTCAAATACTTCCCTGAACAGTATGGTGTCTTTTTATATACACACACACACATCTCTCTCTCTCTCTCTCTCTCTATACATGTATATGTATATATATTAGGGGGGTTGGAGGGGTTTATTTGGGAAAGTTACACGGACCTTCAAACCATCTGAAACCCGTCTACAAGGATTGGTAGACATGCACGAGCTCATACAAATTTTTAGGGGCTTTTCAAAAAACCACTAAACCCTCAACCCTAAACCCGAAACCCTAAACCCTGAACCCTAAACCCAAAACCGATGCCGGCCAGAGGATGGAGGCGCACGCCGCCGGGAGCAGTATCGCCGGCATCTGAAGCAGAAGAAACACCCCAAAACTAGGGGTTCCCTTTAAGGGGATTATGGGGATATATAGGGAAAAGGGTTTAGGGATGAGGGTTTAGGGTTTCCAAAAAATAGGGACACCGTTTAGTATCTTGGGGTCTACATTGGGGTCCCTATGCATATGGAAAGTACCATCTTCGCCTGTAGTTGGTACCTAAGACGTCTGTTTTGCGTTCAGTTTTTCTCCAAGATTGCAAAGGCCTTACCTCAGAGCAACAGTTGAAGTTCCTAAACTGTGGTGCGCCGTAACAAGGTAGGGTTACCAGAAGAGACAATGATTATGACAACCACCCATATGGCCATAACCCCTATATTGCCCCTATATATACCCTATAATCCCTATGTAAGCCATATATGACCCCTATAATCCCTGTAGCTTCCATTTTCGCTTCCATCATCCCAAAATAACCTAAACCCTATATAATTCTATTATAGTACCTTCCACTTCCTTCTCCATTATCCCTATAAAAAAACTATATGCACAGCCCTTGAGTTTCCTTCTCATGGCCATCCAGCAAACTCGTGGGTTGAAATCATCAGCAGCCAGCCTCTGCCATAATGCCACGCAATCCAGGTATAGGCATTCTAAGGGGGGGGGGGGGTTTCTATAGCTGGGTTCTTGTTGAATACGATTGAAGATGATATTGTCTTATCTATATTGGGCCTAGGTATACATTAAAAATGTAAAATGTTGCTCAACAAGAACCCAGATAGGGTTATGTGGGGTTATGTAGGAGCACTTGAGGATATGTGAGTAATAGCCCGATAATTTGCGGAAGCGCACAGAACGCAACGGTGCCTCTTCGCTCACTTAAAAGCGGCAGTTTGCATAAACCCCGGGGGGGGTGCAATATATAGATTTCCAAAACCTTAAGTAGTTCCAGTTTATTTCATGTTCCATGTTCTCATCCATTTGATCCTCCTTTCTTGAGACGTAATCATCTCCCTCAACCCAGAACACCCCAGGGAAGCCCCCGACCTATAGGCTTTAGGATGATCTCTTGCTACCTCTATTGCTGATGTTACCTGGGATCATTGGTAAATGATGGGCGCTGCTCTTCAGAATGAAAACCTTTTAGGGCTGGCCGGGCTTCTAAGCTGAACTGCGATGCTGCCCCTAGTTCTGCTGGATAGACAGAATTCCTAAGATCAGGAAGTCTGAAAAACTGGACTCAGTCCCAGAGTTTCCAGCTTTTTGGACTTCTATGACACCATGAGGGCTACCAACCCTGCCTTTCCTCCCATGATTTTTCTATGTAGGGTTCCTGGGAGAAGCGGACATGTAGGGGCTTTACGGGTAGCTGGGGACTACGCGGAGATTGTTGGGGTCCCTCGAAAGACATTTAATATTGATGTGTTTAAGAAACCCCAACGTACTCCCACAACCAGTCAACCAGTAAACCCGCAACCTTAAATCCTAAACCTTGAACCGCTTCAAAACTCAAAATAAAGTTTCCATCTGCATTTCCACTCCCCGAAGACCAAAGTGCACCCAACCCTAAACCCTAAACCCTAAACCCTAAACCCTAAACCCAACCCAATTGCCTTCGCTCTCGGAGCTGCTGGAAGAGCTGCTGGATGAGCTGGAGCCATCGCCTCCTAAAGGTTAATGGGGGGATTTTGGTAGGGTTTAGGTTTTAGGGTTTAGGGTTTACCCCCAACCCCCCAAAATTGGGACCCTATGACTATCATATGATGGTTATAGGGTCCTAATTTGGGGGGTTGGGGTTACCAAAATCCCCTTATTAAAGGTCTCGCTTAAGGCTCAGGGTCCTAATTATGGAGAACCAGATAGACAGCCCAATGGAACATGAAATCCAAACATTGAGCTTTCACGGATACACACGGTTTGGGGCTTGCCAGGGTTGAGGGTTTGTGGGTTTAGAGTTTGGGGTTTGTGAGGGTTTGTGGGTTATAAGGGTTCACAGCCAAAGGTTTGATGATGGTAGATGTAGCCGGCGCGTCCTATGTAGTTCCGTTTGAAGTAGTATGTGGTGATCTCTTACCGAAAAACCCATAGACCCTGAACTCCAAGCCACAACAAAAAAATGCATAGGAGCCTTTGGCTAGGCATCATTACGAGGATTCGGGCACGAACAAGCTTATCTGCTTGAAGTTGCAGACGTTCCGGCTTTGAAGGTTTTGGGGGGGGGAATGCGAAGGTCTAAGTGGTACAGCTTGATGTTTGAAGGTGCAAGCTGAAGGGGGCTCGGGCCTACACTCGGGGGGCGGGGTTCCCAAAAATTCGGGGTATTTCTTCGGGGGGTCCCTAGAATATAGATCAACATATTCCAGCCGTTATATTTGTTAAAAAAACATCATTTGCCTGACCCGCTGTCTTCTCATAGTTTGGGCGCTTTCTGCCCCAGGCTTAACACAAGGGGTTGCGCTACACCCTAAACCCTGAATCACAAACCGCGTTAGGAATCAAGCATCATGTCCTAAACCACAAGGCTATGCTCTTTGGACATGAGCTACAGCCAATATTTCCTTCATAATTTAATGGACAGAATGTCGGTATTCGGTATTAGGGACTGTTTTCGGGACTATACTAAACTACAAGATGGACCCACATGTCCACTGCTAACTGTCCCTTAATAAAGCTAATATTGACAGTAGCTCACCTGAAGTCAAAGCAAGCCCCAAGAAGAAAGACTTAGAGGCCCTTTGAACCTGTGCCTATGTCATGTCCAACCCCACAATCTCCACCATGCCCAAACATCCCGACATGCTGCTTATTCTTCCCTATGTAAGGGGCTGCAATAATAAACCTGTTTGGAAGATCATGCGTCGTTCTCCTATTGGGGGATAGTTATATTCAAGTGGGTTCGAACTCCGCTCACCGTACCCATGATGGCCTCGTACCCGAACACCCTAAATCCTAAACCCTTAATCCTAAACCCTTACCCTTGGTAAATCCTAAACCCTACACCTTAAACCTAAACCCTATCCCTATATTCCACCAATTTCCATTTCATTTTCCATTTTCTTTTCCATTTGATTCTCCATTATAGGGGGATAATATACCCTAAACTAACCTAAATCCTAGCCTATAGAATCCCTGTAATCCCTAGTAGTTTCCATTTTCTTTTCCATTATTCCAATATAATCTCAATATAACCCAAATATAATCCCTACATAATGTAGTAGTTTCCATTTTCTTTTCCAATCCCACCTAAATCCTAGCCAGCCAAACGCTTTGCAAGACCAGCCTTCGCTGGAGGTCGACGCTTCCTCCTTCTGGCGCGCCTCTTTCTGCGCCTCCGCAGCAGCTTTCTCTTCCCGGCTTGAGGCTTGCTTTAGGGTGCAAGGTTTACGGCCTGGGGTTTGGGGTTTAGGGTTGAAGGTCTAAGAATAGCAAGTCGAAAGCAAAGGAATGGTTGCTTTTCAGCACTTTCATGCCTTTTGTTCCTCTCCTCTTTTGTTCCTTCTACCATGGCCAGGGATTGCAAGACGCCTGCGCCTGAAAAGAGCCCGATGGGGTATGAAAACGTTTGATCCCTCTTTGTTGTGTCTGTACACCATCTTATGGATCTATGGGTGGCGTGGGGAAGGCGTTTGAGCGATTCTTTTTTTTTTAAGAGCAAGGATGAACTTTATGGACGTGCTGAAGGCGCTTCCGTTCTCAAACAGCCACGCCCAAACTGCCCCCCAAACCCCGCCTGCCTTCAAACAAACTCTGCAACTCTTCGACCCTGTATTTGAACTTTAATTATCTTCCTAACAGGAAACCCTTACACCAAGAATGCTAATACAACAAAAATCATACGCGTACAAGATGGAATCTCCTACGCCTTCCCCTCAACTCAAAACAGTTATTGTAAGTCCGTCAGCCCGAAATCCAATGCATATTGAATAGGAAACCACACCATTTACAATGCATTTTCCTCGGGCCCACTGCCCCTTCCCACTTACAGCTTCGTGGTCAACATAATTTACTTGTAGCCGCGCGTAGAAAACAGATATAGCCATAAGGGACATATCTACGCCTCGAATTTCAAAAGCACTCACAAGTACTTAAGTGATGAATAGTTACCCCGCCCCGAACGTCTAAGTGCGAGGACCATCGTAAAATCGCGATAGAGGCATGCTGGATTGTTTCGCAATTTACATACAAAACGTCTTGACATACCCCCTATAGAATCATCCCATAATCTCTATATCCGCCCCCCCATATTACCCATTTCTAGCCTTCCCACAATCCTACCTAAACCCCAAAACCACAAACCCTAAACCTTATTGTAGCCGCCCCGCATGGCCCAAAAGCCATTTTTGGGGAACTCCCAGCACCAAGAAAAAGGGGTTTAGGGTTTTAGGGTTTAGGGAGGAGCCTGAAGATGGTGTTTCAACTTCTCCTTCGCCTCCGCCTGGGCATGGAAGGGCTGCCCTGCACCCCACAACACTCACATGAGACAGTTTTAAGGCTTATTCAGGAGAAGGGTATCAGGAATAGGAATGCAAAGATGCATCTGTATACATCTATATATATATATATATATCCCTCTCTCTTCTTCTTCGGGCTCTAGGGAGTCCTACAGTCCCCCAGGGACAACGTCCCAAGACCCACCCCAAAACTGTCTTGTCTCGGTCGGTACCTGGGAGGCCCGACGTGCTGCCCATTCAGGCGCGCGATCCCTTTGTCAAAATTGGTGGGCCCCCTCCGCCTGAAAGAAGAACGAGAGAGGATGCGCGTTCCTGAGTCAACTTCCCGAGAACTTGAACTTGAATCCCCATGCGTGACGCGCTCGCGCCGCGCCTTTGACTTTTGCTTGGCTCTCTGTTTTCCAACCGGAGCACGAGCTGCCTGTCATTGGACTTCCTGCCGGTCAACTCCGCGGCGCGCCTGTTTTTGAGCCTGAAGCCTTCGTAACAGCCTAAAGACTAGACGATGATCGAGCAGCAGGAAGAACAGCAGGAAAGCCTTCGAGATATTGAGCCAAAATGCGATCAGCAGTTTGGTTTCATATGCGTCATATTCATCATTCTGGTTTGATTTGTTTGCGGTCTGAAACGGGAAGACAAATGGGCTCCGTTTCGAAAGAGCGGCTCCGTTAACGCACTTTGCTTTTGAGGCGGCGCAAGCCGTTTGCAATGATGCAGGGCTCTCGGATGCCCCGTGCTGGTTGGGACACCATGTTCAGGTGTCAGGCATCGAAATCAACATGGCTGTCCCAAGGCAAAAAGGGTACCCAGGGTAGATCCGGAATATTCCGGAATGCCGTTCTTTGTTGCAGACACTGATTAGACCTTCTGATTTCTGCCGTCCTTCAGCGTGAAGGGTGCCGTGGGCGCGGCTTTGCTGGACCCGTGTGGAGAGTTTGGAAAGTTAGAGAGGAGAGAGAGAGAGAGAGAGAAAGAGAGAGAGAGAGGGAGGATGGGACGATTCGCGCTTCTGGGTTTAGGGTTTCGGCGTAGGGCTCAGCGGCTACCACAAAAAACTAGTCAACCTGAGCATACACCAAGATAAAACTCGAAGGCTCAACCTGGGCGGTGGTCTCTTTGGCCCAAAGCTGAAATCGGTTTAGGGTTTAGGGTTTAAGCTCAGGACTTACCTCAGAGATTAGGGTTTAGGGTTTAGAAACTGTTTAGGGTGTAGGGCTAAAGGTATATATCATACAGCCAAACTTAGGCGCTGAACCCTAAATCCTGAAGAAACTCCCAAGAAAAAAAAGTCCCAAGCCTACTATAACCTGAGCGAGTATCATGCAAAGCCTGAGAAATTACAGTACGGTTCCCATAAAAACTTTATGCAAGTAGACTGAAATATCTCTGAAGACCCTATTCTAGTTGAATAATCCGAGTTCATTCCTCTAGCAGCCAATGGGAATTAGGGTTTGGGGCTCAGGGACCCTAACCTTTAAAACCCTAAACCCCTCAACTTTGAACCCTTAAACCCTTAACTCTAAACCCTAAACGATGTAAAACCCTACCTAAACCCTAAACCGGGTGCTGGGGCATTGGCAGGAAGAGAGTTGATGGCCTGGCAGGGTGCAAGATCTTCTCAGCAGCAGGGGCATGTTTCGATGAGAGACAATTCCTTATTGGGGTTATATGGGGATAACGGAACAGAAAATGGAAACTACCTTAGTATATTGGGATAATATAGCGTTTAGGGGATTATATAATCAGAGAGAAGTAAGATTCCGGTCCACATGACCATTTGACATTGGCCATCCTACTAGACCATGTGAGCTATACATCACGGCTCCTGCTCTGGATCTTATGCCCTAAACCCTAACCCTATTGTAGACCATGGAGCCTGGCGCGCTCTCCAAGGACACGTCTTAAAAGTGCTCATGTTGCAGGAGGTCCTGTACGCTATCGTCACAAGTCCTTCTCGTTGCCCAGAAGCCCCTACCCATTCGCATGGGCTCTAGAGTATGAATCCTCAAAGCACGAGCGCAGTCCTGCTAAAGTTCTGCCTGAAACATATGGTTCTTCATAGGTGACGAGACGCCAACAAGGACTTCCCGCCTCTCAGGAAAGAAAAAAGGTTTGCGGCTCCACATCCATGAATTCGCTTTGTCGACTAGCCAGGCCTTAATATGGGGAACCGCGCCAAGTTCGAGATGTACCTAGCATGTACCTCTTTCATGGGCTCCCTTACTCTCATGGCTGAGCAAGCCGAAGCAAAGTTACCCCGTGAAGAAAGGTAGTATAGGAAGAGTAGTCAGTTAACCCATGATATTTGACGCGACGAGAACCCCAATTTAGGGGATGTAAGCGGAAGCTTCGTCCAAACGAATCTCCAACCTATCCTATACCCTAACCTATACATCCCTATAGGGCCCTCTTGACCCGTAGCTTTAACGTCACCTCATGTTCAAAGTGATGCTGTCTCTGTTCTCCGTTATTCTAGCCCTAAACCCCCAGCCCCAAACCCTAAAACCTACAACCCATTCAAAGGAACCCTACACCCTACCCTAAGCTCTAAACTCTAAACCCTGCTCAAGCCGGAAGCTTTGCGTTGGGATCGACATTCCGAGGCCTGCTTACGCTTCTCCACATCCAAACAAAGCCTCAAAGGCTGCTTTCGGCTGTGTTGCAGGAGGCCCATGCAGGGATTAGAGGGATATGTTGGGATTACATGGGGTGAACTATGGATTACGAGAAGATATATAGCATTTGGTGATTAGGGTTTTGGGTTTAGAGATGAGGGTTCAAGGGCCTAATGTGCCCGAATAGTCGAGCACCAAATGATATACAGTGGAATGGAAAGGGCTTTGTAGAACGGTTCCATTAGGATCGTCCCGCAAAGCATCAGAGCAATGGGCCCTGCAAATAATCCTCGAAATTCCCACATGCAACCAGGGGGGGCTCTAAACCCTCAACCCTAAACCCTAAGCCCTAAACCCTAAAACCCTAAATCCTAAACCCTAAACTGTAAGTGGGAATAAGCAGCCCTAGCTTCAGCATTCTGCTCAAGAACACATCACCCCAAGGACCTAGCAACGAGGAGCTGCACCCCAAACCCGAACTTGTACACCGGGTTTAGGGTTTAGGGTTTAGGGCAAAACCACTCTCTCAACAACTTTCAACACGAACCTGCGCCCTCATCCTTAATACGTCTGCTAGTACAAAGAACCCCGAATCCTGGAAAGTCTGCCTACCTTCGAGTCTTCAGCCTCCTTCCTCAATCCTAGATCCTAAGCCCTAGATCTTCAACCCTAGACCCTAATCCCTGGACCCTGAACCCTAAAGTCCCCCTTAAGTAGATAGAATATAGTAGATAGAATATGGCTTTGGGTAGATTAGAAGAAGATCCCCATATACCCCATATACTTAAGGGGGACTATAATCCGTAAACCCTACTCCCTACCATCCCTCCACCTGACACCTTTGTCCCCAACCCAGTAGTATGCATGGATAATGACATGGAAAAGAACATTGACAAGAAATCTGGGGACCTTAGGTCTCTTGAAAGGGATATAGGGTTTAGGATTAATGCACAATGGGAATCTAAGGCCCCTTTCGAGGGATACAGGGTTTAGGGCTAAGAACATGGAAAATCACATGGGGAAGACAGTGGACAATTGAAATGGAAAGCTGCAGGGGTTGCATGGGCTTTAACAGGAATTGTAGGGTGGAATAATAGATACTCATTTGGCAAATCATATTGAATTGTAAATTATTCAAGGGCTTCATAGGATTGTGGCAAGCAAGCTTGTCATTGGGGGCTACTATAAGGTTCGCTTCCTGCCCTCAATCAGAAAGTCCACGGGACGCCTGAGAAATGCAAGTGCGTGGTATGTAAATTAAGAAAAGGACTAGGCTGATGTTCAAACTCCTATCTGCCGTTGAATTGCAGGCCTTTCCAGGATATGTCCAAGCAGCGAGGGCCTATGCCCTTCTAAGATAAGCCCTATCTGAAAATCTTGGAAATTGAGGGCCCAGCGGTTGTGCGTAACCAATGAAGTCCACTAACTTTTCTTCAACAGATCCTGAAGCCCGGGGATGTCTGGAAGAACGTCTACTTCGAGCCTTTCCAAACAAATCCAGAGCAGACATTCCAAGAAATTCGGATACATCAAGTGAAAGGCTCCGAGACGATCCTAGAAGCCTATGAGGGCATTACATTTCTTGTTAACAGTGACATGAAAGCTTAACGAGCCGCTTATATGAGTCCTAAAACACACCAAGAAATGAAGCGAAACGCAATCTGAAGTCCATGTCCCCATTGTAGGAACTCTAGATCAGGCCGGTTGTGCGATGCAAGCGGCAGCTTTTGCCAGAGTCGCGCCACTGGAGAAAGAGCCTCCGGCATCGCTAAGCAACAATATCCAAACTGGGGGAACAAGCTCTGGGAAACCTGTGCACCCTTTCGTTGCCAGCTGTGTCCTGCGAGAACAAACATCATGCGCCTACCGAGGCTCATGCAGATTCTGTGGTGAAGGGAACCATCCACGTCAGCTCGGAATGAGAAATGACCGTGCATTCTTCTGGCCCAGAGATTAGCTGTGCTGGTTGCTGGATCAAACATTGTTCTCCCCAAGCCATGAACCAGAAACCCTTGGCGCTGTATCCTGAAGCTTTACTACTCAATCCTGAGCCGTAAATGCGAAGCCGATAACGATGAACCCTGAAGCTTAATTCTTGAATCCTGAACCCTAAACCCTAAACACTGAATCCTGTATCACATGCTCAAAAAGAAATGAATCCTCAATCCCGCACGCGTCACATCAAGCACTGTACATGGGTTATTCTCAAAATTATGTGCCCATTTTGGTTACATATTATACTACGGCACCTAATATCTAGGGGGTACCAAAATGGGCCCTAATTTTGGGAACTACCCACATGGCAGCCTCCGCCGCTGGGGGGGCGCTGCTGGGCGCGGGAGTGGGCTTTGGAGCTGGGATCCTGAGATTTCCACCAGGTAGGTTTAGGGTTTAGGGTACTGTAATCCGTATAGTTTCCATTTGATTCGCCATTATCCCTATATAAGCCCAATATATGCCCCATTCTACTATAGTATCTGAGATTTCTACCAGGTGGGCTGAGGACTTTCCAGTACTTGGATCTTTAGGGTTCAGGGTTTAGGGTTTAGGGCTATTGGGGATATATTGGGATAATGGAAAAGAAAATGGAAACTACTATACTTGGATCTGCCAGATACCGCAAAATAATGGCCAATCAGTTTGGGGTTAATGGCTACCATCATTCTTATTCGGCAGCAGCAGCAGGAGTAGTAGTAGTAGTAGTAGTAGTAGTAATAGCAGCAGCAGCAGCAGCAGCAGTAGTAGTAGTAGTAGTAGTAGTAGCAGCAGGTGGTGGTGCGAGTAGTTCTAGGCTTCTCAAAAAATAATTCTCGTGGAAGTGCGGGTCCGGAGTTACTGGGGCATGGTAGTCTTCAAAAAACCTATAAAACAAGTGACCACTATAAGGAAACCATACTGTTCACTATATGTCCATATGAGCTGTAGTCTAAACTCCTTAAAGGGGGGTTATAGGGGAATATATAGGGGACTACTATAGGGGTTTTTAAGGGGGATACTAGGAGTTTAGATTATGGCTCATATAATGTGACTTAGCTGAAGTTCCTCAACCGTAACGCAGGTGTCGACGTCACTATGTAGGGTGCAGGAAGAAGACGGGCACAACCTTTGTAACAAACAGCAGATCAGTTGAACAAAGTAAGAGAAACTATCAGACTAACCCAGACCCCTGATAAATGACCCCCTCCCCTTAATAAGGATTACAAAGCGGGATCCCAATATTATGACATTTAAAAAGAATGGGGTTTATTAATCATGGGTCAAAATTACTCAGCGTCCAAGTTTCAAGCTAATGCCTGCCTTCTGGGCCAATGTGTTCGGTACAGTGCGCATGTGGGGATCAAGGCTTTCGGATTCAGAGGCTTGGGGTCCGGGGGAGCTTAGGGGGTGAAATCTACTCGAAAGGTCAGGGAGGCTTCGTAAGTAGGTTATCCCCATAATAAATCTTCTTACGGAGTCCCCTGACCCCCCTAGTAACAGATCACCCGACATGGCTCAGTCGCAGACTACAGATCTGCAGACTTAGGGTTTCGTTGAGGTCTTGATTGACCTTGCCTGCTGGGCATTGAGGCTGTGCTGCAAAATTCTGGGTGACTTGCTGCCCGCGCAGTGGCCACCGAAACCCTAAACCCTGAATCCGGCGGTTTAGGGCTTAGGGCGTAGGGCTTATCGTTTAGGGTTTCCAGGATATCTCTGCCCAACCCCCCTCTCAGGGATCCAACACTGGCCGTCTTTCAAGAAATTGACCCGCTACTACATTGGGGAACCTAAGGCATTGTTGGGAAATTCCGTTTTTGGATCCTTTAGCTGTCTGGGTGGACCCTTGAACCTAGCTCCCAGACTCAGTTGACGATGGAAGGCTTTTCTTTGCAAGAAAGGCGGATGACTGGGTTGCTGTTAAGGAACTTAATTCAAGTTACTATATTGGGAAACCCTATTATTTACTATATATACCCATTATGGCAACCCTAAACCCTAAACCCTAAATCCCCTAAACCCTAAATCCCCTAAACCCTAAATCCCCTAAACCCTATATACCCATTATGGTAACTTAATTTAAGTTCCTTAACAGCAACCCAGAAAACCTGAGCCTGAAGGGAAAACCCAGGCTGTCAACTCAAAGCCTTTTTTGGTTGGCCTCTGGAGCCCTTAGGGTTTAGGTATAGGGTTTAGGATTTAGGGTTTAGGGTATAGGGTTTAGGGTTTAGGGTTTAGGATTTAGGGTATAGGGTATAGGGTTTAAAAGTTGAAAGGACAATCCCCAGGTTGTTCGAACAGAAGACAACAAGAACCAAGTTCAAGTTGTAACAAGGGAAAGCCCTAGCAAAGAAGATCCCACACGGAGGAGAGAAAACTCTTAGGTCANNGGGTTTAGGGCGTGTAAGCAGCTCCGCGCACACCACCACGCGGGACGTGTTGCGTGGTGTGCGCCCACGTTAAGTGCTCCCTCCCAACCCGCCCACCCGGCTTATGACCTTGGTCGGGTTTAGGGTTTTTGCTTACATTGTTGGTGTCGTTTCGAGGTATGATTTCACGTTCGTTCATAGCACGTGCCGTCCAAAACAATGCTGAGGCCCGCATGTTCCTGACTCCGGTCCACAAGCCTGGCCGTTCAATCATGGGCAATGCCATTCTAAATACACGCCGCCGGCAGCGACAAATAGCAAAAAAAAATGCTCGAGCCAGTCTGTCGGGATGCAATCTGCGACCTGCAAAGAGCAGTGTGTCCTACAAGGCACCCCAAGATGTGCACCAGGAATCTCATGCAAAGCATCGGCAGATGAGGGAAGGCTAGCACTGCAGCAAATTTCGTATGTCTTCCAGGCTCATACGCGCTAGAGCAGCCAGCAAGCTTGCAGTTTCACGTTCGATTTTTTCGAGCCACCGGTCGAGCTGTGCAACTCTCGTACTTCGAGCTGTGAAATCGGCAGCGAGATCGCTGGCATCGACACAATTAATTTGTAATCGTCGTTGAATGGCGAGTCAAGAAAGCCCATGCCATCGGGACACTGGCTACAGCTATTGCACTCTGCCCCACGTTTTGTGGACCCCGGCCACAGGCCAGATGGAAAACTCAAGAGCTACGCATTATGCCCTGCCTGGCACAGGACATGTCACAGCGACTCACATCAGCTCCGGGCCGGAACGCAGTGGTCTGCCGCCAGCGGGCCGTTGGTCGCCAAGAGGAAGTCATTGCCAGTGGAGACTCGGGAGAGGCCGGTGTATGCTGCTGCCGGGATGTTCGGAACATTGAGGTACAGCGTCACATGGGGCAACTCGGCTCCTTGAAAGCGGCCCACAGGGGAGGCGTAGCCCGGGCGCACCGGGTAGTAGGTCACGTTGCCAAGGTTGGTGTTTGTCCAGCGCCAGATCCCAAACTGGGAACCGGTGCGCATTTTGACGCGGAGGGAGCGAGCCCTTGCATCCCAGCCGAGGACCGTGCACGCCATTCCATTGACGAAGTCAATGTCCTTGCGGACATTGTGGGTGATGTAGACCTGCATCCCGACATAGACCGGCATCTGGAGCGGCTTCAGCGCCTCGTCGGATTTGCGCTCGCTTCCGACGTAATTGTCTGGATTGCTCTCCACGTCCGCATCGATCCAGGTCTTTGGCGGGTAATTGGGGAAGAGCGCCCCACGCCTGGACACGGTGAGGACGGTCGTCTCTGGGTGCGACTTGAGGAGCTTGCGTAAAGCATGCGGCGAGGGAGGCCCCTGCTTCCCCCACAGCTTCCTGGAGGCCAGAAACTTCAAGGTTTTCTTGTCCGGACGCGCAGTGCGCAGCTTGGACAGCACCTGCCAGAACGCTGGGTCCTTGCAGCCAAAGGCTTGGTGAAGCTGCACGCGAAAGGTCATCGGAGCCAATATGAGGAGTGCCAGGGTCATCGGTCTCCGAACCCGGGCATCTGCCACTTGTCTCCGACAAGCACTAGTCGGCGGCATCCCACAGCGCCAGGATCCGCTCGTACTGCCAGGCGTCCAGCTGGGAGATCTCATCCACGACCACGAGGGCGTGGTTGTTGACGTCCTTGTTGAACGCGAAAGCGGCGTGGCAGCCTGTCACCTAGCGCTCGCGCATCCGACTGGCCAATTGTGCCTTCGGCAGGGCGAAGAGCACGCGACCGTCCTTGTCCAGAGTGTACTCTACGCAAGCGTGGGCCACGGTACTCTTGCTGCTGCCTGGAGGGCCTGTGCACACGCAGACCTTGTGCGAACTCTAGACCTTCTTGCGCAGAGCGTCGGCTTCCGCCTCTCCCTCAGCCTCTTGCACCTGCAAGACCTCGTCTACGAAGCCGGTGACCTTGCTCTTGAAGCGCGCCTGCTCCACGTTCCAGACTGGCGCGGTCGGGGCCGAGGCCCTGGCGTTCGCTGAGGCGGCCTGCACCATGTCCTTGCGGGCTCGCTCTTCTGCCTTGGCGTCGAGGCTGCCGTTCAGGTAGTCCAGCAACAGGCATGCGCAGGATGGTGTCCGCATGCTCGTCGGTGTGGCCCTCCATCTTCAACTCCTGCCGCATGGTCTCTTCACTTTCCCAGACGGCCCGACCCACCGGGTGTTTGTTGAACACGCAGCAGGCGAAGTTACGGTGCTCAGCCGGCACCTTGTCGAGAACCGCGGCGTCCATGAGATCCTCAAGCCGGCGAAAAGGGACGTGCAAGATCAGCCACTGACCGTAGAAGTGGTCGTTCAAACGCGACACTGTGTCCGCGGCAACGAGCTTCTCGCCGCGCATCTTGTAGGCGGCAGCGAAATCCTCCAGGGATGCAGCCGTGGCGGCTTTGGCATGGGCCTTCTTGAGCCACGCGAGGATTTTGCCTTGATTGTTAGTCTTCCTGAGGAAGTCTAGGAGGCTAACGCGCCCTCGAGCCCAGGCAGCTGCCTCGTAGCTCGTGATCTCCGTGGGCTTGTTTCCGAGCGCCTTGTCCAACCAAGGCGTCTGGAAGTAGCGCTTGCCCCCGCTCATGCTGGTCACGTGCCACTGCCGGAAGCGCTGCCCGCAGAGCTGGAGAACCATCTCTGGCTCCATCGGCTTGTAGCGCATGAGCACCGTGGCTGCAATGGACGTGGCATCTGCGAAATCGTTCAGCCACTCGTCCGAGGCACTGTCTGAGAACTTTGAACTTTGAGACGTATTTGGTGATGTAGGCCCGGAGGACGGCGGCATCGTTAGCCAGCTGCCAGTCCTGGTGGCACTTGAGGACATCCAAGATGTCCGCGCAGAAGGCCCGCAGGCCGGCCTGCTTGTCTTCCTTAATGTGGAGGAGGCGGAGCGACCCTGTTGCAGCGTCGTAGGATGAGGGTTGGAGGCATTCAGGCCAGCCGCTCTTGCCGTTGCGGTCGAGCTGGGAGCCTTGCACGTAGCCGCAGAGGTCCGGGTCGTCAGGCATTAAAGCGGCGAGCTTCTTTTCCAGCTGCAGCTGCGGCTTGTCTTCAGTGTCCACGAAGAAGAGGGCGTGCACATGCACGCGACCGGATCCGTGATAAGACTGGGCGGCCGCTTTTCGGTGGCCGTCTTGAAACTCAAGCCGAGTGAAGGCGTGCGCGCGCCTGGGCTTGCCCTGCTGGTCTAGCACCCGGAACAGCTGGGACTGCCAGGGCGGCTTGCTGGCTGTGCTGCCGACAATCAGGCGCACTGTCTGCAAGAGCACGTGCGTCGTACACCGGAAGCTCTAACCTCGCCCTGAGCTGCTTGGCCATGGCATCCTTCACTGCACGGGGCCAGAGTGAAGAATACCTTGGGGTAGCCGAGCTGTCGCACGGCATCCAGGAGGGTGAAGTGCACTTCCTTCCAGTAAAGCGGGCTAAAGGAGTTGCCCTTCATCATGACGCGCATCGGCACGGTGTAACCTAAGTTTTTCTTGGAGCCCAAATCTGACCAGAGGTGCAGGTCGAACACAAACTGCAAGATGGTGAACTCGGCCCCGTACTCCAGCACTGGCCCCAACGCCAGCGCCTGAAATCTTCGCTTGACGGAGTGCCGCACGAGGACTCCGTCCTCGCCCTCAACGCCCTCCGCTTCCAAATCTGCTGGGGGTCGCCGACCCGCCCTGCCACCGCCGAAAAGCACGTCCTCCAAAGTTTCACTGCCGCCGGGGATCTGTTGCCCTCTCATGAGTGAAGGTCATGGTGGTTTTCCAGAAGAGCCACGGCCAAAGTGCGCACTCAAGGCCTACCTGCTCCATGAACTGGAACCGACGGCGCCCGCCGCTGGCGCGCGTCCGCGCCTGGGTTCTCCGCCAGGTACTTCGCGTGCTCCTCAACGAAAGCCTGGTAGGCGCACTCGTCGGACTTGGACCGCAGATATCTCCGGGCCGCTTGGGCAGAGCGTCGATCATCCTCAGCAAGGGCACGGATGGCGTCTCGCACGCTGACACCCTTCCAGCGAACGGAGGAGTGCTGTCGATATCCGGAGGCGTAGCCGCCAGCGTCGATCTCCGAAGGCACGAAAGCCTCCCGGCCGGCCGCCGGAGCGGCTCCGGCACGTCGCCTTGCTGTGGCACAAGGTCTGTCTTGTTCTTCTTGCAGATGGGGCACGCCTTGCGAGAGAGCTCCGCCGAGTGGTCTTTGGTGAGAGTGGCTTCGTTCATGTCGCGCGGCAGCAGGACGGAGCATGCGGCGCAGACTGCCCAGGAGTTGAACTTGCACCATTGCTCGAAGTTCTCGGAAACCTTGAGCAGGCAAGCCGCTGTCGTTGTCTGGCTTCTCCGTGGACGCCTCCCGCTTTCTTGCTGTTGGCCTCTCCGCTTCTCGCGCTGGCTCCGGCTCTTGCCTGCCAAGCTGCCTGCGTGCTCTGGCCTGGTCCGCCAGCACTTTCTTGCGATACTTCTGAAGTGCTTCGCTATCAGCCGGGGAACCACAGTGGACACGGCGTCGAAGGGCCTCAGCCCAGCGCTGGCCCAACTCGGCCGTTGACACCGCCGCAGCAGGCTTGCGCCGTACAGCAGCGCGTTGAGGCGCTGCGGCGGCAACTGCGGCCGTAACCTCTGCGCAGAAAGCAGCCGGGATGCGCTCCCGCAAAGCCTTGTCACGGCTTGATGTGGACATGGAGCGAAGCTTGGAAGCGAGCTGATGGATGCCACCTTCAGTGCGGCACTCTACCGCCAGCTTCTCAGGGTCGCAGAAGATGCAAGTCGCACAGCGTCCATGGACTTGGGCCGCTTGTCTGGTCGTTGTCAAAGCAAACACACATTGCTCTCCAGCAAGTCCTCGGCAGCGCTGCGGCAGCTTTTGCTCGAAATAAGCTCTGTACTCGCCGGGGATGAGGTCGAGCGCCTTTGCGCGCACTTGCTCGTCGAACCTAGTGATGGCGCCACACAGGTTCGCTCTCTGCATCTGGCCCAAGCAGGCACCGGCCAGGCGCTCGCTGTCGCAGAACCGACAGCGTATGTGACGGCCAGCAACCCGCGCACGCTTCCCAGGCTGCGCCTCGGAGAAGATGCACGATTCTCCATCCATGCGGCCGACGCACAAGCGCGGCATACTGCAAGGGCCAAACTTGGATGAGCTACAAAGATATGCCTATATATAGTTCCACGCAAAGGAAGGCTTGAGACTTCTAGGAGGCAGCAAGGCAGTGCGGTCGTGGATCATGCTCTGCTTGCAGTCTCTCACTACCTCAACCGGGGACTTGCAGCTAGGCCATAGCATAACAGCATGCATCAAGTTCGCATCAGTGCTTGAAGACTTCGTTTTCAGACTTCAGGCTATGAGACGCAATCAAGACCTCAGTATCGAAGGGTGAAACCTTTTGCACCCAGAAGTAGCTAGCGAGGAAATGTTCCCGCACATGAGACACGGTGGAATTGGCGTTGAACATGAAAAGTGAGCAGATCAAATTTGAGCATGCCCGGCCTCCGGGGGAGGAGGGGGCCGAAGCCCCCTGCTCCCCCCGCCTTGTGTTCCTCAGTAGGGACCGAGTCCAAGCATCACACTGCTCCCACCCCGGCGGTTAGTGGGGCTGGCCGGCGATCGGACCCCGAGCCACCGCGCGTCGCGAGGCCGGGCCGCACCGTAAGGAGTCTGAAGTGCGAAGTAGGATTCTCGTCTACGTCGTCCCTACTATAAGGTTTTAGAAATTCCAATATGAAAACAAATTTCCTACTTTGCATTTTCTTGATTTGCTTACCAGTCTCGCCGTCGTCATTGCGCGCGGTGCGCGGGTGGCCTAGAAGCATGAGTTAAAACCGAGCAGAAAGCAAGAGGGGTCTGCGCAGAACACCGGGCCTCGGCAAAGAACGGCCAAGATCGTTGAAAATGGGTCGGAAGAGGCTGATGGTGACGCGTGTTTCTGCTGCGCAGCTGAATTTTCCGATCGCCGCAGCCAGCCCCGTAATAGCAAAACATAAGGAAAACGCTGAGTTTTCTCGAATCGCAGAATCCGCTACCGTTGTGGTGGCTGGCAAAATACCCTCTGGAGCACGTCCGGGGGTGTCCGGAAGTGTCCGGGGAGTCCCCCGACGGTGTCCGAGGGAGTGCCCGGGGAGAGGTGTCCGGCAGAGTCCGGGGGCGTCCGGGGGAGTCCCCCGGACGGGGGGGTCCGGGGGAGTCCCCCGGACGTCCGGGGGAGCAGCTGTGGTATTTCTTATTAACGAATAGAGCAGCTGTGGTATTTCTTATAAAGGAATGGATGACCTGGGGCATTTCTTATAAGAGATGGAGAACCTGTGGTATTTCTTATTGAGACGCCTGGAGCCCTAAATCCTAAATAGAGAGGCTTGGAACCCTAAATCCTAAACCCAAAAAGCCCGAAGCCCTGAATCCTAAACCCTAAAGGCTTGGAACCCTAAATCCTAAACCCAAAAGGCCCGAAACCCTAAATCCTAAACCCTAAAGGCCTGAAACCCTAAATCCAAAACCCAAAAGGCCTGGAACCCTAAATCCTAAACCCTGAACCGGAAACCTTAAATCCTAAACCCAAAAGGCCCCGAACCCTAAATCCTAAATCCTAAAGGACGCAGCGATCCTAGCCCAAGGTTTAGGGTCATATATCTCTCTTTTAGCTCCAGCACGAGCGGGGCCGTGCGCCAGCACCCGAGACGGTGCTGGGGTTCCTTCGCTGCGACTGTCGCACCAGCTCCGGAGCCGGCCTCGCTGACGCCTCGGCACGCTCGCCGCTGGCTATCGCAGCGCCCGCGGCTCGCT